TCGCGCCCAACGTTGGGCCCCAGGTGGAGCTTCCGGGACAGCACATCGAGGGGGTTGTCGGCTGGCTGCGTGGCCACCTTCACCATGACGTTGCTGTTGAAGATGTAGGCGGAGAAGAACACCTGCCGACAGACGGGGGGACTTGAACATGACCCCTGCAGGCCCAGCCCCCGTGGCACTGTGCCTGGGCTGGCTGCTGGCTGGCGAGCTCCTGGGGAAATGCATACTTACCCAGAAGACGTCGTAGATGAGCAGCCCTGAGAGGAGCAGGCAGGACACCTTGAGGCTTGGCAGGCGGACGAAGGCGATCATGGCGACGCAGAGGCCCATCGCCAGAGCTGGGGAGATGGCACAGGCTCAGTTTCTGTCCACAAGCTCGTTAGCCCGAACGCTGCCCTCCCCTCCAATGGGAGGCCCGCGTGCCCCACTTGTGCGTCCTGAGGTCCCCAGGTAGCACTTGGCTATTAACTACAGGGGTGCAGCTCGAGCCCACAGCACAGCCTCTCACAAAATGCCTGGCAAGCTGCTCCCATCGGGAGGAGGAGGCGAGAAACCTGCTAGAAGCTGGGGGCGCCTCCTCTCAAGCTACACTGCCGAACAGGCGCCAACGGCAAGGCCAGAGGCTCAAGTCCACCAGCCACTCCCCTAAGCAGGACCCTGTCCTGTAGGGTGGCGTGGAGCTGGTAGTCAAATCCATGGGGAGAGTCTGGTTACAGTCGGTATGTGTCAGACCTGTGAGGTCCCCACTGTGAAACACACGGCTCCTGGGAGAACAGTCCAGTCCTCCCCACGTCTCCTCTCCTACACCTGTGTCTAGAAGCCCTAATGGAACCCGGTGGCAGAAGGGTGCTCAGTTGCTAAGCCACTGGCACCCTGTCTCTGTGAAAGCACAGGCAGGCTGGGACACTGTCGCACGGGATCCTTCAAGTTGGAGCCTGTGCCACCATTGTCCTAAGACCCATCTGTTCCGCGGGGCGCCTGGCTCTGGTGTCTCTCCTCCCTGCTTCCAGGCCACCCCCCGCCCTATGCAGCAACCACACTGCCTCTAGGACCAGGTCTCAGGAAACCCTATATTTTCCTCAGCAACATAAACCTAACTACATTTTCATCTTGAAACAAAAACCTCTCGTGTAAAATATTTCCCTCGTAGCTACTATGCCCCTTTCCTGGGAGCCTAAAGCAAAGAGCCTCTAAGCAAACCCTGAGCCATCTCCAATTCCGTCCTGTCTTTCCCTTCATGCTTCACACTAGTTCTACGAACGCTCCCTCTACCCATCTCTACAGACGCCTGCCAAATTCACACGGAAGCGAAATGGCACATTTTCATCTAAAAACATAATGACATACATATATGAAACTGTGACACTACATTTGTATAAAACTTAAATATTTAACATTACACAACATGTAAGATACTGGGTTCGATGTATCAGAAGGATCGGTCACGACAATTGCCGCTGCATTGTTTGTCTTTACATTTGATGTTTACTTTTTAAGAACTCTGTGACTACATTTATATTTATTCCTGAAGCAATGCTTTCATGAATGAACGAGATTTACTGGGATTAATAATCAATTTATGTTCCCACCACACCAACAGGTATCTGTAGATAAGGGTACACCATACAGAGAATCTTGAGATTAGAAAGAAGGCTTAGAAGGCAATTAATTTGGATATATATTTTGTCTCCTTAAATGGATAAAAGTCAGAATAGATGGTAGGAGGTAAATGTAAACGGGTTTTTGTTGAAGAAATCTAAAGGCATCAAAATGATGTGTTCTTAAAACTGAGTGTTAAGTTTTAGTACTTATTTCAAATGCAGCAACTGCTTTGTAGAAAATTAGAAGACACAGTCAAGCAAACTTTGGTTATATCCCTAGTACTCAGAGAGACTGCCACCACTAACAGAGGGTAAATTAAAATGTGTCGCTACAGCAGACTCACAGGAGCCCTTAGTGCACAGAAACACCCACACAGGCAGCTACTGCTCCTCAGCAGTCCCCCCTCCTGCCTGCGGTCTCTGCTCTTTCCATCACGTCAGAATGGCAGCGGGAGCACCCTCAAGGAACTCAGATTGGGTTCCTTTTCAATGCCCTTTGAATTTGGGGTTCAAGAAGACGCCAGAAGGAGTAAAATCTGGGTGACAGGGCAAGGCATCCCAAGGCAGTTCTTGCTGGCAGGCCCTGCTACCCCAGAAGCAGGGCAGGTGTACTGCCACGATGGGGAAAAGGATTTCTCGGTGCAAGC